AGCCCTTAACCCCCCCCCCCCCTGTTGGTCCTGTTGTTTTTTTTTTTTTTTTTTTTTTACTTTCTTTATCTCTCTCCAGGCCCCCAGTGAACACAGGCACCCTAAATCAAAAATCAAAATCAATCTCTTTTTTTTGAAGAGGTTTTTGCTATAGGGCTCGTGCGCTTGCCAGACAGACAGAGAGAGACAGAGAAATAGAAAGCGAGAAGTCACCCCCGAGAGGGGATGGCCATGCCGCAATCCCTTCTCCTCCATTCTCCTCTCGGGATCTTGGGCACACACGCTCACACGCCCGGCGTGAATTTAAGTCACCGGGTCCAGGACTCGAACCGTGGTCGACTACATGGGAGTCCAGCAACATAGCCATTACGCTAACTGCTGGTCCCCAAAATCAATCTCTCTTTTAAAAAAAATGGGGAGCCACTTTTGGGTTTGGGAGGCCAGTGTCTTAAGAAGGCGGCAGAAGTCTAGAAAGAAGCCTAAGAACAAATTTCCATACCCAGCAGGTGGTATGGTGGTTAGAGCACTGGACTCCCACATGGCTGACTGTGGCTCTAGTCCTGGATCTGACAGCTTGGTTTTTCACTTTCCCTTTCTTTTTCTGTCTCTCTCTGGTCAAATTAAAAAATAATAAGAACAAAAAATAAAATAAATAAGTCTAGGGACCAGCAGTTGGCGTGGTGGTTGGGACGCTGGACACTCCCACATGGCCGACCAGGGTTCGAGTCCTGAATCTGGTGATTTGCTTTCTCACTTCCTCTCTCTCTCTCACTCTCACCCTCTGTCTCTCTCTGGTCAAGCTAAAAAAAAAAAAAAATGAATGAATAAATAAATAAAATTAAATAAAGACATAATTATAAAAAAAATTGTCTTTCCATTAATAAATAAATAAATAAATAAATAAGTCTCAAAAAGGTGGTGTGGTGGTTAAAGGCGCTGGATTCTCACATGGTGGATCGCCCTTAGAGTCCCAGACCTGGTGGTTTGCTTTCTCTCTCTCTCTATCTCTCTCTCTCTCATTCTGTCCTTCTCTGGTCAAACTGAAATAAACAAATGAATCAATGAATAAAAAAAGTTGAATAAAATAATTCTCTAAAAAAAGGGGGTGGGGGAGGTTGGCAGGTAGCGTGGTGGTGGGGACACTGGACTCCACATGGTTGACCATGGTTCGAATCCTGGACCTGGTGGTGGCTTGCTTTCTCACTTTCTCTCTCTCTCTCTCTCTGGTCAAATAAAAATAAATAAATAAAGATAAACTAATTCTTAAAAAAAAAAAAAAAGAAAAATTAGAAGAAAAAGAATTTCCTTTAGAGGGAAGTTGCTGGTCCCGGCATCTCCAAGAACGCACCCGCTCATCTCAGAGCCTTAAAGCGTCTGGACCGACCCTGTTCCAGCCTTTGGACCAGGGGGAAACTGAGGCCGGCAGTCCGAGCACCCACTGGGGATCGGAGTCGGGGTTAGACGAGGGTGTCGATCGGGAGGACAGAGGGGGCGGGGCGGCTGCATGGGGGAGGGGAGGGGCCTTGGAGGCACCCCCGGACACCGGCGGGG